CATTTGCGTGTTTGGGCTTGTTGACGAAAAACGACAGCAAAACCTGACCGCAATAACACGAAAAGCCAACAAAGGAACACTAAATCAGGAGATCTATATCGTCAGTGTTTCACTAGACACTCTAAGAAACCCAAAGAAAGCGGTAAGTATCAGTATGAGTGGAAATTTTCAGTTGGAAAATCGATTTCTAAATTAAATGTAACGCGCTTACAGGTGTGTGTCTGACAATCAAGACTAAGGACCAGAACTATCCATTTTGTAACAAACTATTTTCACGAGATACACGCAGAGGAAGACTGTACGCTCCAACTGCAGAGCAGTGACGTTAGCTGAAGTTGTAGCTCGACGTATTGCACCTGCTCCAAAGTCTCTGAGTCCGTGCGTAAAGAGCATCCTGCGTAACAGGTGTAGACCGGCAGAGGAGGACAGAAGTTGGAGAAACTCCTTTGAGCACTCTTTTGGGAGACACTGAAAGGACACTAAACAGAAATCCACCTGTGAACCAACGTTTTCTTATTTCTAAGTAAAAGGAAAAAAGAAAAAAGCGCACTAGTTTTACGCACGGCGCTGTAATGTTACCTATCAACCTGCATAGCAATCAACCGGGAATGAATCAGAGGTATCAGAGGAAATGAATCTAACATGAAAGGGAGAAAGAGAGAGAGGGAGAGTGGGGTGTGGGCGGGAAAGTTTAGTAAAGTGGAACTTGGTAACAGATGCGAGGGAGGGGGCGCGGCCCTGAAGGGAAGGGTGGCGGTTGTAAGTTGCATGTTATGTATGCAGGGCCGTGCGCGTGCGTCGGAGCGCACGTTAATGTGTGCACGTGAGCGCGTACACCCATTGAATTTGTGTGTGCAAGCTCGTGCAGGAAAAGGACAGGACATGAGCGCACATTGAGAAAGCGGCTCTTTTACTCGGCGTGATCATTTCACGCTTCCCCCCGAAGCCTTTTTTCCACCTAAAGCGTTTAGTTGCAGCTGACTGAGCACTTGCAGGGAGTGCAATAGGGAGCGGAAGGGTCGAATTATTTCAACCTACAAGTCGCCCCAAAAGTAGGGGACAAAAAAAGGGGGGGGAGGGGGGGAGAGAAAGGGGGAGAGAAGAAAACTGCCCCAGAAAGGGAGAGAGATAGGGAGAGGGAGAGAGAGAGAGAGAGAGAGGAGGAGAGGGAGAGGGAGACGCTGGAAAAAAGTTTTTGATCTTTTCCTTTTTTCTCCCTCCATCGCCTCCCCCTGTTCTAACCGAGTAACATGGACCAGGGGCCCAAGAGTCCTGCGCTGCGGCTGGGAAGAGCAGGTAGGGTCGCGCCGTCTCACTCTGGCTATATTTTTGCTCTCATCAAGAGCTAGAACTCATCTGCTTATCTAGTGAACTCGTGCTTTTCTTGCTTTTAATTTTATTTACGACAAAACTTTTAAATTGACGTTAAAGTTTAGCTTTTTACAAACGTTTCTTTAAAAAAAAAACTTGCTTTAAAGCCGTTCTAAGTTATTAAACTATTACAAAAACTATAAAAAAAGTTTCTGGAGTTGATCTCTGCAATGAAACACTCCGTAAACTTTTGTGCTAACTTTGAAGTGTAAAACGTGCTTTTCTTGCAATGTTTTCTCTCAAGTTTGTGACTTTTGTGGACAAGTGAAGAAACTTTTAGTCTTCGTGTTGCTGTCTTTTAGAAATTCCTTAGGCTTCATTTAAAGAGATAAAAAAGATAAAAAATGTGCCTGAGTGCTGTCGGTTTATAATTTTGCTTCTTTAAAAGATATGTTTTGGTGTTTATTTGCTATTTTGTATTTATTATTATTTTCGTCATTTGCTGGCAGAGAAGGAAAAGTGGCTGAAGTTGCTGGGTTTGGGTGGCATTGAGCTTCAGGTCATCTCCACGTGTTGGTCAATCACCTGATGGGGTTAGCTTAGTACCGAGTGGGTGATTAGAACTGAAAGGCAACGTGGATTTGAGCAAGATCGTGGTCCCTGTGTATCTCCACGTCTCACAAATGTATGTGTAAAATGCGTCTTGTGAGGGTGGCCATGTGAAATATTTGTTTTTCTAGTTTGTTAAACAGAAGTTGGCGTCTCTGGTCGTTTCAGTCAAATGCAAATCTCTAAAGGATGTGAACTCGACTCTTTCCTTCGTGTCTCCATTATTTTATTCAACAGGTTAATCTCCTATAGGCCTATTCATAAAACAGCAGGGTCTGGTACAGCAATGGATCAGGCCATCGACCTTGTTATGGCACCCAATGGATATCACATCATTTCATATTGCTGCCCGCTGTGTCTGCATTGATAAAACGTCGTTTGTCATTAAGAAACTGTGGGTAGGTGATCAGCCTCTTTGAACGGGCTCCACGCAGCTTTTTTTCCTCCAGAAAAGCAACATCTGCTTTCATGACCCCTCCTTTTGCCTGTTAGAAAGAATATTGAAATGTACGCTCACAGATTTAAGACAGCTGTTGAATAACATTTTTAATAGAGGTTCAGATTGCAGTTAATGCTGTTTTGGGCATTCATTTATACTATATTGCGTCAAGGAGGACTTTTGAGAGCATGGCACTTTGTCTTGAAATAGAATTTTTTTTTTTTTATCTTGGGGTCACCCTTCTTTGAAAATTTCTCTACAGATGATGCCACTGCTCTGTAAGACAAGCCAGGGCTCCTCTGCAGTCTTTTGTGGAGTGGGCCTAGCCCCTGATAAACGGTGAAAACGATGGGATTTGTAGCAATTGGATGATAGCCTTTTAGCCACTGAGGAAATCAGAGTTTAAAGGAGGGCCCCTCCCATGCTGATGTGTAAAGTCTTCTGGGCCCGGGGCCTGTACCTACGGCCTCTCCATGTTTCCTCTCACTTTAAGATACGTGCCTGGAGTACAAAGGAGAATCAATGGGGAAGAACATGAATCTAGAAAAGCTTCTGGTAGTGCGTGAAAGAGCAAAGCTCGATTCTTTCCATTTAGCTTGGCTGTTATTTCTGTGAATTATTATTAAAACAACAACAACAACAACAACAACAACAACAACAACAACAACAACAACAACAACAACACGCAAGGCATTTATCTGTCTTATAAGACATTTTCAACACTCGTATATGATGTTAGCTCCCCTTGGCCTGTCTTCTGTCCACAGTAAAATACAGGTGTATTGAGAGTAATACGACTCACTCAGTGATATCGTTTCTCTGCGTATATTCTTCTGCGTCATTCTCTACCAGCCTGTTTTTATGCAGGCGCCTCGGAAACCCAGTGAACTGCTCTGCACTACTCTGACCATTCAAGCTTCATCTACAGGATTTGTGTTTTCCAAAAGTCAAAGCTGACACGCCACCGTATAAAAGTTGTTGACCAAAACGCTCACTAAACTGTGCAGAGTACACTATGTGATGCACAACCGATACCATGAAAATGGAAGAGAGAAAGAAGTGAGGCAGGGGAGGGGAGGGAGAAAGACAACCATGACCTCACATGGCGTAGCCTGCTTTAGCTTTGACCTCAAGTGCCCCATCATAGTAGAGAAACTAGGCTGATATACGGCCATGAGGCCTTTCTATTCCACCTGGCAGATGACAGACTGGTCTTTACTTGCATTATGAAAGAGCCAAATGATTACAAATAGGACCATCTGATCGGGCCTGTGGGTGGGACAAGCAGTCTCAGTGATTTACCTGCTCGGCACACGGTCGAGTTCCACCCCGGGAAGTCCAGGACGGTTCACTCTCTAGTCCATATATTTTATTTATTAGTTATGACTTTTATATTTTATAAGCAAATGAAAACTTAAGAAGAGATACGGGAGCTTTCTCATTATGTTTACAGTCAGCGGGCGTGTAATAAACGAGCTGGTGGAGTTAACATGCGCTATTAATTTTTCATTGCTTTTTCGTTTTGAGGCTCGGGCGTAAAAAAGCAAAACAGCCGAAGCCTTCTTGGCGGATAGAGGGAAAAGGGGAGAGCAGGAGTGAAAGGGGGGAACTCCTAAATAACAACAGTGGGTTCAATTTGTCTCCAAATGATTAGCACAACTCCACCACATTCTTACTAACGTTTAAAAAAGTCTACAAACCCTTCATCCTTCTCCTCCTCTTCTTCTTCCTCCTCCACCACTACCACCCTCCCATCCTCCCGTTTCCAGCAGTGGAGAGGTAATGAAATATGGTAATGGATTTGGATCCCCGGATTAAAGTCGTCCTACCCTGATTGAAGTTTTCTCCAAATTTCAAACCCTAAAGCAACAACAATTTGTATACATGATTGATTGTGTTTGGATTTTTTAATTGCTTATGTATTTAATTTGCAAATCGGAGAGACAAGAGCGACGGCTGTAATTTACTTCTGTGGGGAGAGAAGCGCTCGTGTCTATATCTCAGTAAATAAAAACAGACTGGGTGCAGAAGGAGAACGGATTCTCCTTCTGCACCCAGAAATACGTAAAGTATCATATGGCAGGTTTTGTTTTTGAGTCTTTGTTTGGAGACCCCTCCAAGATAGCAAAATAACCTGCTCCGCCAATACAATATATATTACGAATTTGCTAGTAGTAGTTTATATTTATATAGAAAGTAAAATGAGATATTGTCATATTTTAAAACCAGGTTCATTTAGGCCTATTTTAAACGTCACGAGGCCAGGAGATTTTTTTTTCCACTCTTGGTCCCACTTCAGAGAATTTTCAGTATTATCAGCGGTCCCCTGCTTTTCGACATTTTGTTTCGTCTTGTGGCCTAAATTCAGGCCTGAGGTGTAGGTAGCAAATCTAAATATCAAAATTAAAAATATTACTACTACTTCTTTGTGTTTTAATTTTTTTTTCTATTTTAATGTTGAGAAAAATGCAAGGCTAAAAACAGAATGAGGCTCGTCTGCTGTCTGTCGTGGTTTTTCCACGAGGCCTCATAATTGATGAATACTCAGCAAAGAGATGTGAAATATGAATGAGGATTAGCGTGGATCCTGAAAACAGGGTCTACTTTCAGTGGATTAAAGAACAGAGACGTGGAATCAATGGAGATTCATGAAAACGTATTTTGTGTTTTGGATGTCTGGGTTAGTGAAACAGACAAAAAAGAATAGAAAGAAAGAAAATGTTTGATATACAGTAATCCCGTGCTGGGATTATTGTCCTTCCTGTTTTAGGAGATATTTTGGTGCTTCTAGGCCTTCACTGGTCTACTTGGAGGACTTAACTTAAGGTATGTTCATGGTAAAGTTCCTGTAGGCCACGTCTTGTCTTCGTGTGTATGTGTGTGTACGTGCATGCGCGTAAGGGCGTGTTGCCCAAGGTTGAACGCCCCCTCGTGGTTAGTTCCGCAAACATCCCATACAGAGGAGCCAGTCTAACCAGAAAGCAAAACCCCAAAGCCTCCAAGCTTCCAGTTTTTCAGAAAGATTTCTGAAACAGCGTCAAAATGTGTTATTTTTCATTTTAGGGATAACTTTTTATTTTCTAGTTATGCTGTACTTGAGTTTACATGAGCTCTCTGGGCTGATGCGCGCTTTAAAATGAGCAGAAGTGCAGATCATGAGAGGAGCAGAGGAAAGACGCTGACAACTGCAAATCAAGAAATCTGCTAATCTAAAAAATTAAATAGACTCAATCATATCACAAACTGACCTTTTCCATAACTGTGCATTGCCTTGAGGTACATCGAGCTCGTAGGTCTTTTGAGGATAAGCTTGACAGGTAGGCAGAATAACCTAAAGACTGTTGTGGTTGTTGTTTAGGTCTCCATTGTGACACTGACTTGACAGATTGTAACAAAAGCCGCATGCTTAGTGATGCTGTTAGACGGGCAGAAATGACTTGTGCGATTCTGCCTCCTGTTTAAGTGTCTGTGAATGACTGTACAAATATATCTAATCAGAGGGGTTTATGTGCATGCGGCACATATGCACCAAAACGATTAAATGTCTAGACACAGTAAGAAGGGAAATAACACTTTTTAATTTGGCTCATGCTTTAGGCTATTTGCTTGGTTAATATTACCGGAGCGAGGCTTCGATATGCCCTCTCAAATCAGGTGGGACGAGCGCGTATTGAATCCCCTCTTGTAGTTTGGTGAGTAAACGCGCAGCTCGCCAATTGCTTTTCGTAAAAACCGACATCCGTTTGGATCCGCGATCAATTAGGTAATGAGTGGGAATGCATGTTTCATATGTTTTCTCCCAGTTGTCCCCCTAGCTAAAGATTTATAGCATTGTGCTGAACGAAGAGGGAGGAAACAGAGAAAGTATGCAGGGCCAGTTGTTTTCAAAAACACTCTGACTTTGGTAGACCTGTGCTTACGTGAATATAAAGATTTTATTTATTTTATTTATTTTATTTTAATTTTTTACTCAAACGCGTTTCCCAGAAAGGCTGTGGGCCTATGAAATCTACTTTTGTCCACTTACAGCTACAGTTACTCATGCAACAGAAAGATGGACACTTGCTATTTAAGTTCTTCAGCATCCCTTCATTTATAAAAGCCTGCTGCAACTAAGCCTCATTTTTAGTAATACTCAATTAATTAGCCATTTAATATTGACATGAATAAATTGAGCGCAAATGGGTATAAAGGCATTCGTTTTTTTTACTTCGTTAATTGAAATTAAACATATGATCATCTACTCCCCGAGCCGGGCGTCCCTTCGCTGAGCCTCACCATTGGCTGACGCGTAAATCTGCGGGGCGTCATTGGTCTACGGGATTCGCTCGAGCCAATGGCCACCCTCCCCCGCCCGATTCTATCTGGGGCTGGCGGTGACGTGTGGCTCGCGCTCACGCTGTGATTGGCCAGATTCCCTGTGAGTGACGGGCAGCTGGCCGGCGCGTGTAGGTTAGGGTTCCAGGGGGTTGGGAGCGCGGGCGCTGTCCGCAAGAGACCAGGTCCTGAAACTCGCCGTGCGCCACCGCGGATGCTGGGCGCAGGCAGCTTTCCATTGTATAGTTAAAGAAGCCCGTTTATGTACAGACTTGAATCGCAGTCTGTGGCGTTTTTTGTGCTTTGAGCGCGGAGAAAAGTAGATTTTTTTTTTAAATTTCGGAGAGAACTGTTTTTCTTCTCCGGCGCGAAAGAAATCAAAACTCACGCACAAGCCCGCATCTTCGTTTGTGCAGGGTTCCTGGTCAGCAAGGAGGAGGAAGGAGAAAGAGTGACCGAGGGCTGAGTGCTGCCTTTCGTTCCTTCAAACAAGGCAACAGATATCAAGTCATCTTCAGTACCTTCTGTTGAGAAAGAGGGAGAGCGCGTCCCCCACACACCCTCCCCCTGCACTTTTTCTGTATTTTACTTTTCTTTTTAGGGGGATGTGAATCTTCAAGATGTGAGCACTTATCCGCTGTCTTTCATGGTTTTTTATGTTGATGGGAGATAACCGAGTTTTCCAGTAGAAGCAACCGAGGACGACTTATCGCAAGAAGCAATGTGCAAAAAAGAACTTGGGACAAAATACAGCCGCGAGTGGATCTGTAACGAATATTTTTGTCTTTTAAAAGCTCTTTTTAATGTTTGTCTTTTTAAATATTTCTGAACAGACTGAGAGGAGAAAGTTCAGCCTCCGCCGGGTTAGTCTCAGTTCAGGGGTCACGGCCAGCGGACCGAGAAGGAGAGAAAGGAGGGAAGGCTACTTTGTTTATTTTGCGTATTTATTTTTTATTTTTTGGCAAAACTTTTAACATTACCTCAATATTTTTACGACCCGGGACTGGTGCAACTTGGTGATAATGAGAAGCTGAAGGAATGAAAGCTTACGCCGTCGTCTCCCTCCTCTGGTTTAGGAGACGCCAGAATAGACCCGCTGTTGTGTCCCATCCCCATGAGGAGGGGGCCCATCTTTGATTCATATTTTTGAGGCCGGTTCTTTCTTCCCCATCCAACTGCAAATCCTCCATTTTCGATGTTTAATATCGTTGTACCAGTTTATCACAAAGTGTCGCCTTGCCAGCATCGTATTTTATTTTTTAATCAAGAAGAAGAAAAAAGTCCCCTCTTTTAAAGGGAAACAGGCGCTTTTCATTCATTGGAGGTCACGGTCTTTCAGTAATATTGGCCGACTGAAGCGAGGAGTCCGGTGGCATTTTTTTAAAGACTCGTGATAGCTCGCTGGGGCCCTCCAGCCCCATCTTTCCGATGGAGATTCACTGTAAGCACGACCCGTTTGCGGCAATGCACAGTAAGTTTATGCGTTTATAATTTCCTTCATCTGCATCTGCCCTGAACTGAACTGTCTCCCAGACCGACAGCTCTGCGTGCATGTGCAACAATAACAGCAAAGAGTAAAAAATAAATAAAAAAATAAATAAAAATCATAATTCGAAGAATTGAAATGTCGATTTATTTGTAAGAATATATACAAAAACATATGAAAACGTGTTTTTTTTGTTTTGTTTTATTTAATTTAAATAGGAGCTCCCGATTTCGGAGAACTCAAAAAACAAAACAAAACAAACATTTTAGGCATTTTCTTTTTCAAATACAGAAAGTGTTTAATATTGGATTGTTTGAAAGTACTTTACAAATTTGTTGCGCACGCGTATCTTTAGGCTGCTTGTTATTCTTTCTTATTATTATTTGAAAAAAATCAATTATAAGTGACTTTACAATGTGGATATTTTCTCAGTCTTTAAATATGGACAGAAAACATTTACAAATCTTATATCTTATGAAATTATACATTTTTTGTATTACTTACCTTACCAATTGTTTCTTACAATTTAAAGCTGTATCATTTTTCATAAATGTGCATATAAAAATGTCAAGTAAGTGTAAATCGACATGAGTTTTGGGTAGAATGAGGAGCTGAGGGGATTTGTGAATCGTGTGATGAAATGCAGGTTGCGCACATTGTGTCGGATTTGATGTTTTGTGGGAGATGGTTTGCTGTGCTTCCCTCTTTTGAAGCGAAGAAGTTCAGGGGTCAGAGAGGGTCGGGGAGAGGGAAAGAGAGAGAATGGGAGAGAGAGAGAGAGAGAGAGAGAGAGAGAGAGAGTGAGAGAGAGAGAGAGAGAGAGAGAGAGAGAGAGAGACTGGAGAACAAAGCATGACTAAAAGCTGAACCTGATCCACAAACAGTAACCGCAGTGTTTCTGCACATAACCAGGTTAGACTGCACTTCACACACACACACACACACACACACACACACACACACACACACACACCACACACACACACACACACACACACACACACACACACACACACACACACACACACACCACACACGGATCCGGGAGATTTTGAGATTTTATGCGAGTACCTACAAAACTAAGCCCTCGTTTTTACCACACAGCAGGACACAGTTTTATGTAGCTCAGTGTCTTGCTTGAGGACACTTCAACAGGGTAGCTGTATATATAGTATATTCATAATATATATATATATATATATATATAATATATATATATATATATATATATATATATATATATATATATATATATATATATAATATATATATACTATACATATTAATATATATATATTATATATATATATATGCAGTGGGAAGGCTGTGCAGAAGGAGGGGGATCAACTTTTCCCTTCTCCAAAAATGTGCTGCTGCGCACCTCTGCGTATTTATGAAGAAAGAGTCAAACAGTGATAATAACAAAAAAAGAAGAAAGTCTTCTGCTAATATTAATCATTCTGAATTTGAGCACAAACCCTCTGCTGTAATTATAAGCAAAATGTCAGGTTTATTACAGTGTGCACTGAAACTACTGCAGTGTTTTGTATTTAGAGTGTTAGGCAGTAAAGACTGAAGGCTGATGCTCAAAAAGACGTTTAAACTGTTAAAAACGTTTTTTTTTTGCAAATTTACATAAAAAATGTCACCCCCTAAATCAGCAGGCTGCACGGTGGCAGTACATTTTGTGTTTTCTCTTTACACTCAAAAGTCAAATAAAGCGTCCTACAAGCGTTTCAGCGTGTGGCTAATAGATTATGCGTTATATTGCACTTTAGTCCCTGAGAGAAGCCGTGTTATGTGACTGACATAGTTTCCCACGGTGTGTTGCTCTGTGGGATTTAAAAAAAGAAAAGAAAAGAAGAAGAAGAAGAAGGAGAAAAAAAGTGCTGCACACACGTATCCAAAAGCTAGAACGAATCACGTTTCCTCTTCCCTGCCGTTTCAGCAAAGCCAATGATCCGCGGTGCTGATGGCAGCGGCGGGGCTAAAGCTATATATGTCAAAGCGCGGAGACGCTTTAAAACGATTACACCTAAAAATGTCAAAGGTAGAGAGAGAGAGAGGTCGGGAGGAATCGACTGTGACGCGTGGAAATGTTGTTGGGAGAGTTTGGATGTGCGCTCCATGCCAGTGTTGGTGTGCGTGTGTGCGTGCAAACGGGTGTGTAGGTGTACTTCACCTCATCAGGAAGTCTGTGAAGCATACGGGCCACAGACTTTTAAATTTAAAGCAGAGGCAATAACACACGACCCTAAAGTTTCATGTGTTATTTTGAGGGCGTAACAAGTGCGTGTTCGTCCCAAAAGCCTTTCCCAAATATTTTATTTGACAAAAATCGGAGGTTTTTCACCTACACGGCTGACACTTACAATTAATATTATTTTTCTTGCTATTATTTTTGCTTAAAATCTCATTCCCTACAATCATTTGCCTTACACACTTTTATAACGATGATTGAAACGTGAATAGCCCACATATGTGGCTCATAACAAGCCTGAGCACTCACTAACTTTAAAGAGTTATTTCTACCACGAGCAACACCATAAAATAGGGATATTTAAAATATCTATACCAGGTAATTGTGATGGTAATGAGTTGAATTTCATAATCACGCATTGTAATGGTAATAGAGGCATGCTGAATATTAAGTAGGCGAGGCCGTGGCCTACCGTAGAGACTCGCGAGTTATAGCGTAAAGAAAATATAGATCTGACTTTCTAATGCAGAGCTACACTGAGCCGGAACAACAGCAAAGAAATGTGGAAAAAATGGATTAATCTTAATCCAACAGATCGACTCAGACGTCATCGTCATAATCAGTGTCCGCTGCAAATATGAAGTTTACTTTAAATAATTTAGTTTTGGGGGACTTTTTCCTCTTTGAGTTTCTTTGAGCCTCGATTCTTCCACCAAATATTAATTATCCCTCTGTTCACGTAAAGAAAATACAAAATAGCACTATACGTCCAAAACGCCCGCCTGGCACATCTCACCGATCTATCCACTGTTTGCTCAAGGAAATTTGCTTCATCTGTATTCTCGCAGGCGACTTTCCAAACAGGTTTTCGGCCTAAAGTAATTTCTAGTTGTTTTTTTTCTTCCTTTCTTCCCCCTCTAAGACAGGGAGCGGAGAAAAGAGAGAGGGGACCGGTGGCGTTTTGTCGCGATTTCTCTTTTGCTTTATTTTTGAGTCGTCAGGCCGTGACGGCCCAGATGAGAGATGAGAGAGAGAGCTATGTGGACAGAGGGAAAGAGAGAGAGTAAGAGAGACACTGAGGAATGTGGCTGGAAGAGAGAGACAGAGAGCCTAATGGACCTTATTTTCTGGATGGGGGAGCGCGAATATATTCTGCTTTATCTTTGTATTTCCCCCTCCCGGAAACAGTGAATCAATCAAACGTTTAAGGTGGCGCTGGGTTCTTAAGGCAGCTCCTATAAAGGGTAAATAAATAAAATACAAGAGGGATGCATAATGACCGCTGGTCCCCTGGCAGGGTGAAAATGAAGCTGCTGTCTCTGCCAACACCCCCACACTACCACCACCTCTGGAGACTTCAGAGGTTCAGTAGAAAGATATTTAAAAGCCAAGGCTAGTAATTTGGCAAAATCTTCATTCTGCAACAAAGTCTCCTGAGCTGCTGATTGAATTTCTGTGAGCAAGTGGTTAATTTGCTTGGTCAGAGGGATGAATTACTGGCATCTGTCAGTAAACCCACCCAGCTGTGGGAACATCAGCCCGGGTTTCTTCTGTAATTAGTTTTAAGGACAAGAAAGGAAATCATTTCTTCTAAAATTAGGAGAAACTTCCGAGTTCTCTTACTCGGCCTTGCTCCGGGCTAGCACCGTTCACCTCTCCAGCCTGATGCCTAAACATGGCATATAACCCTCTGAAATGAGAACTTGTACAGCGTATTCAGAGAATTACGCTACTGAGGCCGATAAACAAATGCTTTTATAGATTTGCGTTTCTCCCTATCAGTATTTATGGGCTTAGAAAAATAAATTTCAAACACATAATCCACACAGCCTACCCCAAGAATGGTGAGAGTCTGAACGCCTAATACCAACAGTAAATACACAGATAAGTGAATAAATAGTTATCGGGAGGTTTTTGTAGGTCACAAGTCATTCCTCTCCATCTCTTTACAAAGCAAGGCGTATTTCATGCCCTGGCCCAGATAGGAAGGGTGAAAGGAACCATTTCATTTACTCTTATCTGAGGAAGGGGGAGGGAGGGAGAGCGAGAGCGAGGGAGCGTCTTCTCTGCAGATACCTTTGGTCAGGAGGAAGTAGGCTTCTATAAACCATTCTAGAAAAAAACCTTCTTTTATTCCTTGAGAGGTTATAGGAAATAATAATAAAGAGAGGAGGAGGAGAAATGCATTTACACATTTAGACAACCTTATAAGGTATTCACAGAATGTCAAAAAAGAGTCAGAGAGCTGACTTTCTCCAGTGGAGGTCAGCTGACTCTTTCTTGCTTTAAGGAAGATCTGAAACTGTACGTGTTTGAGATGTCTCTGCGAATGCTGTACAGGACTGGGCAGTGAGTATTCCCAGTAAAGTCTTAGTAGATCAACAAATTGATCCCTTATTACAAAAACAGTAGGGTCAGGGGTGCCCTGTAGGCTCCAGGAGGGTCAGCTGACTGCCTATGAATGACTATGAGCAGGCTCGTCTCTTCTACTTAAATTCTGATTATGAATTTTCTGATAAATACATAAAATCTGTTCACATGTTTTACAAAACGTATGGTTGGGAAGTTTACTGGAGGAATTAAGGGTGATAAAGGGGGCTATGATGTTGTTCAAGTTATGTAGCCCACCGGAGCAAATTTGTAAATTGTGATTTTGGATGTTTTAATTAAATAAAACTAGTTCCATTTGACTCGTTACTGTGTATGCTTTCAAGAGCAATAAGTTCACAGTACCCGTTAGTATGAAAAAAGCCTTTGAAAGCCAGAAATGTCCTTAATGGGAAATAAAACAGAGCACACTGAACAGTTGTGAGGTACAAATTCGTATTTTGGAAAATAAAATAGATAATAGACATCAAGAACTCATGAAGAGCTTATCACGAGGATAAAACATGTTTCTTATTTCAGATGAATGGTCCTCTTCATTCAGCCACTGCTATATCTCAACGTAACATTACTGTATTATTAGCCATCTGAAATATAATGAAAGCACGAAGAAACCTTTTGCATACAGAACATAAAAAAAAACATGGTACCTCAGCACTGAATGATTTGCAAATCCACTGTTAAGTTAATAAAAAGGGGTGAGATTTAACATTTCTTATTCATAGAGTTAGAGCAGACAGGGACCTTTAGTCTCTGTTCTACAGTAAATTTCCCAAAAGCTCTGACATTTTGATGAAGTGTGACTCAGTAGCGTCTACAGTACATCATTCAAATCTGTGTGAAGTCTTCCGAATTCCGTCCTTCCAGTTTGTTATAAATTTAGGACATCCAAACCCAGGATAGTAACACATCTGATGCTATACGAAGCAAACAGTCTACAGAAGCTTTGCAGTACTTCCTCCGATGAATCCACTAAACGTGTAGAGCGGAAATATGAAAAATGACAATACATAAGCGCTAATTGGGTGAATGACTTCTTTGATTGAACAGGTTTAAAAGTAAATAACAAATCGATTAAACACAGCTGATGGTAAAGTTCATGCTGCTTGTCTCTGAGCTGTGGCTGAGCCCAGCTCACAGGGTCATATTACTCTGCCTGCGTTTTCCTGTCTTTCATAAAGAGCGATTGCTTTTCAAATTGTGCTCTGCAGCAGACGTCTGCATAATGAGACTTCTTCTATCTGAAAAAAAAATAAAGCAGTAAGGAAGCGAGTCGCCGTCCACGTTAGCCATTTGGAAATAGCTTTGTTTGATTTCACAGAATGAGACTCTCCACTCTTCACATTTTTGTATTTATCTCTCCTGTATTGACCTATTTATATTTATGCTGGAGAAAGCTGTGAAAGTGCGTGTGTGTGTGTGTGTGTGTGTGTGTGTGTGTCTTTCTTTATTTTATGCTGATGGAGAGAAGTTGAGGACAGGGGGACAGGTTCAGGGGACAGCACGGTGTTTTAGGGGGTATCCCTGCTGGGGTAATGTGTTTAAAATCTATTACCCCCACAGCTAGGATTAGTGTGTGTGGGAGAGTGTGTGTCTGTGTGTGTGTTTCCCCTAAAGACGCAATCACTATGGTAATACAAAAGCCAGTGGATTAAATGGTTGAAATTTTTTTTTCTATTTCATTTAAACTTTGCCTTTGGAGGGAAACACACACACACACACACACACACACACACACACACACACACACACACACACACACACAGTCCTGATCTTTCTTACTGTTTTCTGCTCACATGCAGCATTTCTGTTGGTGGATGCAGTTTAATCATTTACCCCAAATTCCAGGATTCTGACCTGGCCCGGCTCACGGGGTCTCACAGCGTGGTGTTTACAAATGTATAAATGGTGTAGTCTGTTTAAGTGCATCTTCTGTGATATGCTGCTGACCTGCTCAAAATGTATTTCCAGTCAGTAGAAGCTTGGATATTTTCTACTATAGGAGAGCTGAAAGAAACTAGATGGACACAGATCATGTGCATATATATAAATTACTCTCCTTTGCAGTTTTGCCCTTGTCAGTTGTGGCTGCTGTTTAAATCTGTTTATGCAACTTTCTAATAGACGGCTGTGGTTTTCTGTGACTTATGGATACAGAAGAAGTTTATTCAATTATGCAAAGGTTCAGCTAGTCTTTTCTTCTATTCTACTTTTGCTGTCTTTCATTCATTTCCTTATACTTTCATCCCTTCATCCCTCAGAGGGAATATTAGCGGTGTCTTTCGCTAAGGGGCCAAGGCAAGGCCTTGGTCAATAATTAATTAAAATCCCTTCATTTACTCAAAATCTTTGCTTAGCCTGCCCCTGGTGAAATTGGGCAAAGTTTGCACTTTGGAATAGTATTATTATGCTGAGCAGGATAAATCACAGGCGGGAGAGAAAACAGATGTATTTGAGATAGTAAATTAACTAAGCTAAGCCAGCTAAGCCAAGGGCCAACAGCTGTGGGACTGCAGCCTAGAAAGTGTTGCTGAAGTAACTATTTCTCAGGCAAACAAATGTAAATGTGCAGAAACAAGCTGTTAATGGCACAGATCCAGCATCAATTTACTGAATGAGAAGTGATGGTATTAAAATAAAGCTCATCGAGTGTTTAAGTAGAATGGAAAAGCACTATATACGAACCAATCAATTGACCTTTTCCCAAAATAGAGGAAGTAGCCTCTAACTGCTGTGCTGCAGACTAGACTACCTTAGTGCTGATATGAGGTGTAAAGATTGTCTGAAATGCCCTTAAACAAGCTGGTTTTTGCTGCTACTTTATACAGTGAAGCTGTTAAGTTTTTGTGTTCTTCTGTCTGATATTGTTTTGACCTTTAACTTGAACCAAGTCTTGGTCAGTCTTTGATATGCAAATATAAGGATAATGGATCAATTTGTATGTTTGATTGTGTTGAAAAAGTTACATTAAGATCTTTGACTCTTGCCTATCCAACTCTCTGTCATGTATCAAGAATATAGTCAGAGGAAATGAGAGGATTTTGTAATTAATTTCCACTGAGTCCTTTTTTTTTTTTGGTTGCATATCGAGTTAGATTTCAAGGTTATCTTTGATTTCAGTGCAATTTTTCATGCATTTCTTTCTGTTGTTCCCCATTGGCTTCTTGCCCATCTCAAATTCTCATTCTCTTCTAGGACATGGTGGCGTGAACCAGCTTGGAGGTGTGTTCGTAAATGGCAGACCCCTCCCAGATGTAGTTCGCCAGCGAATAGTAGAACTTGCCCATCAGGGGGTTCGGCCGTGCGACATCTCACGCCAGCTACGAGTCAGTCATGGATGTGTCAGCAAGATACTGGGCAGGTAAGAAGCCGACCAGCACCTACACTCGTGTGTGTGATCAAAACACATCAACCTCCTCATTCAGTACTTTAAAGGATCCCTTTTCACAATAAGTTAACCTTTAACCCCTTAGCAGTCCTATTAGTCCCCTAAACCATCCAATGTCCCGTGGGCGGTACGTCCGACTGCTAACAGTTTAAACGATGCAGTGGAAGACCAAGTATCTTCACCTTTACTTGTTGGATTTATTTGTGTTTTTCTGGTTAGTTTTTTTTCCATCAGGTGAAAAGAACACACACAGGCTGGTTCAGCATGTGTCAGACTGAAGCTCCTGTAAGGTCATACTGACTCCTTTGGTGTCAGTTCTGCTGTGTTCTTCAGTTTCCTCCACATGCACAAGCTGCATTTTCCAAAGTGCCTCCATTTTCGCTCTGCTTCTTACTTCTCTCACACGGTTCTCTGCTCTTTTCTTGCTTTTCACCTTCCTCTCCCCTCTCCTTATATCCTGTATCCCCCCCCCCCCCTATATTTCTGTGTCTCTCCTCACTCCCCCTTTTCTCTCTCTTTCTGTCTCTCCCTCTGCCTTTTTCAAAGCTAAATTCAAGAGTAAATCCCTGTTCGTTCCGTCCCTCAGAGAAGAAAGGGGGACAAAAGGGAAAAGATTCATCACTTTTTGGAATTAGCATCAAAATGAAAGTGGCACCATATTTCTGCACCAAAAAAAGACAGAGGGAGATGGAGAATGGGAGAAAGACATGAACAAGGGACACAATCAAAAGGGAAAAGGCGTGTTAAAGAAGACGAGTGCAGGAAAAAGAAAAACGAATGAGAGACAGAGAGACCATTTGTGAGGACGGAGGGGAAGGATTAGCTACAGCGACCCTCAGCTATATCAAAAAATGTGCTGCTCATTGTTCTCCCATGCCTCTCTTTCTCCGTCTCTCTCTTTCCGTCTTTCTCTCTCTATCTCTCTCTTTCTCTCTCTCTCTCTCCCCTTTCCTGGCCGTTCAACTCACTGAAGCGTTACCGTGAGGGGGGAGGAGGGGAGGGGATCGAGGGATGGAAGGAGGGAGGGAGGGTTGTTTTATCCTCTCCTCTCCTCTCTCTCTGGTGCCAGCAGAACAAAAACACCAACTCTACCACCCTGTGTGTGTTTGTGTGTGTGTGTGTGTGTGTGTGTGTATTGGCTCATCGTTGTGCAGATATCAATAACTACGCTCGTTTATTCACCAATGATTCAGCTGTGAATAATTTAAATAGTTTTCCATTTGAAAATAGATTGTTTTTCCTTTAGCTGTGTTTATACTCCAGCTGTGAATAGTCAAAAATGTGGAACACACAGAAAGAAAGACAAGGAAGTGCACATTTACAGGAACTCGCATCTTCACGGAAAGGATTACTCTACCGTACAGTGGAGAGAGAGAGGGCGAGAGGAGAGCAGCAGCAGGTTTAAGACTGACTGACAGCTTGCATCCACACACAGCATCCCCCCTTTTTTCTGCAAGCTGTGTAGCGCATTTGCTGTCCTCCCACCCCCTGTCCCCCCCATGCCCCTTCTGCATGCAAATACATTCATGACATAGCCATGGTGGACATGAAACGGTTGTGTGAGTGCGTCCCGTGTGCACATGTGTGTGTGTCGGTGCCATCCTCTTCCTGCATCTGCGTAATAACGTGAAATTGCTTAAGAGAACAGAAGCCGATCGCGGGGCGAGTCAGGCCCTAAAAATGTTGCGTGACAGGTGTTTGAGCTTATTGCATTTAGCCTTTCAGCTGACTCTGACATCTGCAGCGAAATCGGCAACATTATGTAACTGGCAGTGAGGGTTTTAGCACGCCTTGATTTAACAAGGTGTATCCCAACGAGAGCAGAGTCTCTGTTTGCGAGAAGGAGCTGAGCAAATCAGTCAAAGATACAAAATAAAACAGAAATAAAGAAAACTAAAAGAAAGGATCAAATATACAGAAAGATTCCCTCGAATTTGCAGTATATTTGACCAGCATTATCTGACCGGTGTGAATAAATACAAAGTCTTTGATACAAACTCTATCCACACACAGATTATAAATACACAGTGCAATCATTAAATCTTCAAGGTGCTTTCAAGAGGAAATATTTCCACGGCAATATTTCGATTTAATACAGAACCTTTTTGGTTAAAGAGGATTTTAAGCCTATATAGCAGACACATTTGGACCTCATCTGGGGTACTTTCCACAGCTGTTGAGCAGGTACATCCCTAGAAAGTATTATGTGGCCAAAAATATCCCAAAAGTTATGACACAACTGGCATCAGGCTCATTTTAAGGAGAACTGTGACTGAATTCACATGTGGGCAGACATGAGCCACCTTTGGGCCAAACATTCATTGCATTCTGAGCAATGCAATATTCATAAGTCCATGCAGCGCATGGGCACTGAAGCTGTTTTTGCGATCTTCCCTGTTTTATGCGATGTGATTCCTCGCCACATCAAAAGATCACCCCAAACCAACACGGAGTTTCAATTGTCAGAATTACCCAAATAAAAAGTTCTGTTTGAAATTCAAATTCAATTTAAAAAAAAGATGCTGCTGACGGAGGATTAGCAAATAATCACACCCATTTCATAGCTCAAATTAAGCAAATTAGGACAAGAATCACAAGTGATCAAAAAAATTCGGACACTAAGAAGATATACAGGCTACGGAAACTATTTTAATTGACATGGCAACATGACAGACTTGGGGGGGGGGTGGGGGGTTAGCTGTCTATCGTGAGTGGAAAAAAGACCTTAGACAGGAGGAGCACGTCCAATGTTTGGTGTGTAATCTAGAAATAAGTCCTGACCACAGGAGGGAAGGTCATTCCTCTGTTGGAGAGCTTGAAGGGAAAATAGCTGAGTCCAAGTGGAGCAATGTTCAAACCACCACCAAGAGAGGTGAAGTAAAGGGGCAGTAAAGCAGAAAGCTGCTTTATGTTATATCTGGGTTCTTTGGAGTCTAGATTCCCCTTCTGCTCGATTTAGCAGTGAAACAGAACTCCGAATAATTATTTCAGCATATTTGATTCTGTCACAGAAATGACCTGGCCACTTTTCAGCTTCAATAGGTGAAAGAAGAGGAGTTAAAGGATAAGGACACCGATACGAAAAATGTATTTTTAAAAAATCCTTCACATTTGTATCTTATTCCTCTCTGCCACTGACCTACATTGTTGTCCATTCGCTGTTAAAAACACAGAAAAAAAGCCACACTGTTGGGCTCTGTGTTAGTTTATTCACTGTCCTCGTGCTGTGAAGAGCCTCGAGATCTGACTCCACACCTGTTGATGTATATTTGAGAAAATGAGGAAAGTATAGAAGAGCACCAACCTCATGCTTTTAAAAAAATGCATGTTCAGATTCTTATTTGGATGGAAACTTGAACTGAAATATTTTCAGATGCGGCGGCACAATCTTGATTAAGTACTTTAACCCAACTAAACTCGGCCTTGTTTCTCTTTTATGTTTTTTTAATTAAAGTTTTTTTTCAGGTTTGGATTTGGCACATTTTAATAAGGAGCTGTATGCATAAAAAAACGAACTAAAAACAGAATTTGCAGATTTCATATTCCATATTATTCTATTAACTTGTCCTCTCGTTCCTCCCCGTATGATCAATGCAAGTGTCTTTTAATTGGCAGGTACTATGAAACGGGCAGTATCCGCCCTGGGGTAATTGGGGGATCCAAACCAAAGGTTGCTACACCAAAAGTGGTCGACAAAATCGCCGATTACAAACGCCAAAACCCCACCATGTTTGCCTGGGAGATCCGGGACAGGCTCCTAGCAGAGAGAGTTTGTGACAACGACAGTGTTCCCAGCGTCAGCTCCATTAACAGGTACGACGGTCTGCATGCTTTGTGTATGTTTGTTTGAGTTTGGGCGTATAGCAACAGGTACAGCCTATTGGTAGAGCTCAGAGCAATATAATACTCTGTGTTTTATGTGTGTGTGTGCCTGTGTGTGCGTCTGGGAGTGGAAAAGAGAATAGTAAAGAGGCCCCAGTCTCCATATGTATGAAGTGGCTGCAGCTCAGTGGTTCAACACGATGGTACAATGACAACCCTTTCCCCTGAGCATAGAAGCAGAGAGAGAGAGGGAGGGATGGTGAAATAAGAGAGAGAAGGAGTGAGCAAAAGAGGCAGACAAAAGGGAAGGAAGGTGTGTGGGGGTAAGGAAAGAAACAGACACAAAAGGAAAGGAAAGAAAGGAAAAGGGAGAAAAGGAAATGAGAGGAGAGGAAAAAAGGGGAGGAAAGGAAGAAAAAGGAAAGGAAAGAGGAAAAAAAGGCTTGCATGAGCAGCCAAGCAGGAAGTGTGAGGCCCCTCTGCCATGTCAGCCTGCCTCAGCCACTTCACACACACACACACACACACACACACACACACACACACACACACACACATATACGCAGTTTTGCTCCCACGATGGTCATGTTCTCTCTGTCACTCAGGATCTCTCTCACGCACACTCACACAAACCACTTCACACACACTAATATCCCCTCTCTCCTCCTGCAGGATCATCCGGACTAAGGTTCAGCAGCAGCCTGGTCAAACGGGCTCAGTGTCGGCTCACAACCTAGGTAGGTTGCTGTTCGAAAATCCTGTTTCCAGCCATCAAAGCCAATTTTTTTTTTTAACAAAAGAAGTGTTTTTGTGTAAATCTCTCCGGAGAGGATCTTCTGTGCTGAACAAGAAAACAGAGTTTCTGGACCTGTGTGAAGACAGGATGCTATGTGCCACAAAGTTCCAAATCTACATTGCATCCTTACAGTCAGCTTTAGATTGTCATTTTCCACGTAAGAAGTATGTTTAGGGTTTGTTTCTTTTTTACCAGAGTTTTGTGTGATGGTCAGGTTCATTTTGCCTTTTTGGGCCAACCGAGAGCTGACTGAAGAACGAGTAAGGTAGGGTACGATCAAACAAAGGTGACCGGCTGGATATAAAATAACAGTTACATATTAAGCTTTCATATTCTTGGCCCATCCGCTATGACGTCTTTAACCGAAAGCACACTGGTAACATTATTACAGTAGTGTACAATGTAACTATTAAGACGTACAATAGTCCCAATAACAGAAATCAAAGGGATCCACGGCGTGAAACCATGTCATCCTAAATATAACTGTTTCATAAATAAGTCAACAAAAATGCTCAAGTCATTGTAATATCAAAGCATTAGAGATCTTTATCAGTTCCTTCTCAAATGGGTACTAGATTAGCAACACTGGCAAGCATTTAACTCTTTGATTATTGGAGGTTATGACTGGAAATTGATTATTTACAATGATATTCAAGTTCAAAGCGAGGATGCACCTGGTGAGGCATATTCTCACGGGCTAGAAAAGATCATATTTACGGTTTCTCAGTTACATCACCAAATTATTACTTATCTAGGTTAATGGACTTCTTGTGACCTATGCACCAAACTTTACACTATGCATATTCATAAACACATTTTTTTTCATCCATATTGCTACAAGCAGTGATTGGTGGGGAAGGATACACAGCTTTCTGCCCCCTTTGTCAGATTAATTCAGCTGTGTTTTGTTTGAGCAACATAGTAGTTTGAAAATAAGTTTGAGTATATTAGCAACAGGTAAACTTTTGCTTTAGTTTCGATTAGCAAATTAGTTAAAATTATGTTAAGTGCAGCTGGATGAGATCCAAAACCAGACAAATATTAAAGGACTTATCGGAAGGTTCTCATTATATATTTTTAATAAAGGACCCGTAACCTTTGTCAGTATACAGTTAATTATCCTGTTAGACACTGAAAGACTATATCTGTGGCATCTATGGCTTGAACATTATTTCCTTTTATTCGATGAATATCGCAGCGTACACACAGATACGATAGCCTTTCTCTCTCTTCCTCACTTTGCCCTGCAGTGGATTGTGTTTCAGAGTCTCTCATATCTTCATAATCGCACATTGTCTATTAATCTAAATTAATTTCACACACACTGCTCCCTGACTCCTGCCTTTTACTCACATTTAAGCGACACACACACACACACACCCTAGATGCAGTGAGACACACACGCACACGCTTACAGATTACACAGATAAATGGGTCCCACTCCCAGGCGGAAAATTGAACATTTGGATTTGCAGAATAAAAGCGTTACGTTCTGATAAAAAAAAGAGTGAAAAGAAAGAGAAAGGAAAATCAGATAATTGAAGTGCTAAATCAAGTGATGGGAAAAGGAGGGATATGCATTCATTATACTCTCCTTGTCGTTAGCGAAAGAGTAACGGCTTGAAGGGACTTTGATCCTCTGGTTTACCTGCCTTTTTTACCCCCTCCTTCTTCTTTATTGCCATTTCAGTCTTGTCTTTCTCTGTTTGGGGGGTCTGCTGGGAGAGGGGATTAGTATGTCTGTCTCCACACCTTTCTGTCCCTCCTGGGATACCATACTGTCACTCAGCCCCACGTCCGCTTACAGGGGTACAGATAAGGGACCAAGAAGCGAGCGACTGTATGTTTAAGCCTGTGCCTGCGTGTCAGGAGGTTGCAGGATGCGTGTGTGTGTCCGTGTTACTGAAGCGGTGACAAGTATGTCGCTGTGTCACCCGGCAAAGAACTTGTCTCCTCCAGGGGGAAGATTAAAGGAAGAGACAACAAAGAGCAAAACACTAACAGAGGCTGGTCTTTTGTGTCTTTTCCTTTAGTTTCAATTTAGCCGATACAACCGAGTGAAATTTAGAGAGAAAAAATGGACTTTTATTGATTTTTTAAAAAAGAATAATAATTAAGATTTATATTGTGTGGCAATCATGCTGAGGTTTATGCCACAAATATATGAATAAGGACACTTGATTGTTGTTTTTCAAGCCTGAAAGGCATCCGCACACACAGACACACAGAAGAATTTCTCAGAAAGAGCTTTGTGCACAAAAACTATAGCTTACTGTTTATTTTCCATCAAATATTTGGGCTTTCAAATGAGATCCAAAGACACATGCAAATATATTGGATTCAGTTCATTTTGGTGAGTGTTTATAGAGTTTTGTGACACAGTACATTAAAATATACAGTCTGTGATATTTCAGCAACAGCCAGAAATTCATAAAACACTTTGCTGTCTTCTTTTTCTTATCATTTTATCTGAGATGTGATCATAAAGTAAAACATGAACATTTAAAAAAAATACACTCTTTTCTTTATAAGTAATTGTTTTATTGAAAGCAAATGTTTCAGTGAGTTAAAGAGTCACTTATGCCTTTTTAATAAAATCACACAGCTTACAAGAGTAAGTGTCCACATAACACAATAAATGTGTTGTGCTTTCCCCCATTTTATTTTACAATACGACTCTGAGATTAAGTAATTCCTCATTTCAGTCATCTGTTTTTTGGGTGTTCTTTTGCTTTCTCAGTATATCCTTTAAAGTGTTGGCATTGTCATGTGATCTGTCTGCAGCAACGTCCGTGCCAGCCACACAGGTCTCAGCAGTGACCAGCGACTCGGCCGGCTCCTCGTACTCCATCAGCGGCATTCTGGGTATCAGCTCAGCTGCTGATGTAGGCAAGAGGAAGAGGGATGAAGGTGAGCAAACAGTTATGCTTTGTATATGTCCCACTTTGCTAATTTTTCCTGGTGGATGCACAAGGCACACGAGAATCTAACACACGAGCAACAGCAACGGGACATGTGAATAAAACATCTTCATTGAGGAACGCAGATTTATTTACTAACAGTGTTTCATGGGATAGCAACCCGAGAGGCCAGCTCATGCACGCACTATCGATCATATACTTCTGTCATACTTGGTCAATGTTGCGTGCTAATGTATATGTGAGCTTGTGTATGTGCTCATAGGTACTGGATGTATATATTTGTGTACGCTGATATGCCTCCACGTGTTTGCTTGATTGTGTGTGTGTGGGGGTGTGTGTGTGGGGGGGTGTCAGTGGCATTAAAAAGCCATCACACAGACGGTCTCCTACGGTAAATGAGACAGGACCAGATGTCGGAGCGAGAGGGGGTGACAGAATGCCACTGGGGGCTATTTCGCTCTCTCTCTCCCTGACACACACACACACACACACACACGCACACACACACAGATACAGTGTGGGATCCTTTTTCCCACTGCTGATGAATTTTCAGAACACTCCAGCAGGTTCCAGGTGAATCCCAGGTGCACCTTGATATGCTCGGATTCAGCCCACTTAACCATCAGTAGAGTACAAAGACTTTAGACCCAACGCAGACATAGAGACATGCACACATATATCATTGATACACTGGATCAAAGTTTGACTTACTATGTGAACAGTTTGTCCATTGATAAATGAGGTTTTAGCTCAATCCAAAATAACAACAAATTGCACTCTCATCCTGTTCAGCGATCATCCGCTGGTTGGGGTTTCCTCCGTCTTTCTGTTGCAACTGCATAAAACGTCAAAATATGTTACAAAGTTAAGGTTGAGGTAGAAGACTTGGTGTATCCATAAAAGCAAAATGTGACATAGTGTTCTAAAAGCAGGCTTAAACACCCGGTGAAGCTTGAGACACACTCTAGACTTTAAAAACTGGGGCAGACAAAGAACCTACACGATGAGGAAACTGCCTTTTCTCACATTAACACTTGAAACAAATGTAAAATGGCAATTTTCCCTCACATTTTCCACATTTCGTATTCATTAAGTTATCTCGCATGCACACCTTGACTTACCTTGATGTGCATGTATGATATCTGCGCAACAGAACTGAAGAGAAACAAATCAAATTCAAATATTTTAGATATATTCGGTTAAATTTTACACTAAGTTTGACGGGACTCTGATTTTAGTTGCTGCTCTTGAATAAGATCAGAGCACTTGCACAGAGCACAGTGATTGTCATGTCCACATTTTGGCTCACTGACAGAGTAAAGACTGAAAGATTAACAGATTCACCTGTGTTAGTGATCATAAGTCTGAACGGCCACAGTGAAACTGGTCTCTGACTGATTTCATCCATGCCTCTTTGACATAAATAATATGAAGTATTAATCCACCCCATTCTGTGCTGTATTGTCTTCAGCAGAAACTCTGCAGTCAGATCTGTTGCTGAAGGAAAGTATCTGTAGCCTAATTAGCGGTATTATTGTTTCACTTTGTTCTTTATGTGCATGACACACTACACCATGTGCTACATGTGTGGTCTGTCTGCCGGTTTTCTATGACTGCTGCTGGACTTTCCATTTCACAGTTCGAATCGAAACATTGTATCACTTCTCGTTTCATTGAAGCATTCAGAAAGCATCATTCGAGCATTATGTCTCTCCGTGTCACGTTTCGCTTGTGTGTTTTATCTGCAGCGTTTCTGTGCCAGAGGTCTGCGCGGTTGGCTCTGTGGTCTAATTAACAGCATTGCTAATCACAGCTTCCATTAGAGCAGCCCCCGCTGGATAATGACACACACACACAGCAAGGGGCGACAGGGGGAACAGCATGCACAGACATGGACAGACAAACACATACACAGGCAAACAATAAGGCAAGCTTCTGACGACGAGTCACGGCCATATGCCCGTCTTTGCAGACATTCTTACACACGGAGAAGGAAGGCATAAACCCACAGTACACTACAGTGACACACCGGACATCACCAAGGCTCTTTTGTTGACTTTGTCTGTCTCTCTTTGTACAGGTGGATATATCACACATACAGCAATGTGACAGTTTGTGTAGTTTAGAACGCATTTAGAACAATGATACCATTGGTCCATTTTTTTTTTGGGGGGGGGGGGGAGCCTTGAGTCAGTCTGTTGCAATTTTCCTGAGTTTTTTGTGTAAAAAATCCCCAAACACACTGCAGCTCTTATTTTTATTTATTAATTCATTTATTAGAGCAGGTTAATGTTAGCTGAATCCTCTGATGATCCTAAGGCGGCATGGTCTGCATGCTTAATAGACAGGCATTTTATTACATATGCAGCCCATACTCTTTTAGTGAGCCTCCTACATGACAGAGAGGATTAACAGTGGCCATTGACTCTTTCCTAAACTGGTATGAGAAGTTATACCTTTTCCTAATGATTAAATCCACTAACCCTGCTGATAAACCAGTACAACTAGTTACAAATTGCTTCGCAATGTGCTTAAGCCATAAGCTTATACTGGAGCATGTGGAGTGACCACATAAACTGAACAAAAGAAACCTTTTGACCACAAAAAACAAGTTGTTACTGAAAATATTCTGTCCCACTACATCATCTACTACTCTGCCAATATAGCCAGTAAACTGTACCAACATCAGTAAACATACAGAGTGGTTCATCCATTGTTTTGTAGCTGACAGGCTGTTTGCTAGTGTAGGTAAACCTCTTGTCTAATTCCCATAATTCTCACATCAGTCAGTGGTATTCTTTGCATCTGTCTCACTCAATCACCCCCCATGAAGTTGAATTTTAACTTGGTACCAACTCATTTTGTGCCTCCACCAATTATTTAGTCTCTCATTGCTACATGTTGTTGAACTCCACACTCCCTGGTGTCCACAGCATCTCAATTCCTGCAGCAGATTGTGCTCTTTGAATTAAATGTGTTGTGGAAAATATTATGTTTTCAATAATGGAATGTATCTACAGAGACAGAGGTATAAATAAAGCAAATGATATTCTAGCTCACAAGAAGCACCCCACTGACTCCTCAATTGAACTGTTGCCATCTGGTCAACAATATTGCCCCCTCGATTTGCTAAAAACACATCTACATTAGAACATGTTCTCCAGGCCATTGACTTTTAAAACTGGTAAAACATAAATCAGTAGGTCTGGTGCTGAGCTGGTCTGGCCATCCTAATCTGTTGTAAGGTGCGCAGTATGAGTGAAATGATGCTTAGTTTGTTGTGATGAAATGTGTTTTTAATATCATATCATTGCATATCATATCTGCTGTATGTGCTTGTAAGGACGTCAACGCGTGCAATGGAAACTGTTAGCCATGAGCATATCAAACAGCTGCTGTGCACGTGAACACAGGAAGGAGGGATCAGTAGCTTGTGTTGTGTATGTATGTGTTCTTGTGTGTTGGTAGGAGGAGTTTGTGGGGGTAAAACCCTGTGGTGACCTGTGCCCCCAGCCAAAGCGAGGGGAAGTTGGGGGTGACTGGGGCCAGAAAGGAGATGAATGGGTGTGAATGGAAGAACTTGACTTCTGGGGCCAAAAGGGGACTATTGTACCTTAACCTATTCACTTTACACATTGAAGCTTCTGCTGCTGCTTGTGTGTGTGTGTGTGTGTGTGTGTGTGTGTGTGTGTGTGTGTGTGCAAGCATCCAACATGCATGTGGAGTTCAGGACAGGTGGGCCGTTCACTAAAGGGAGTGCTGTTTTTTTCTTCCTCAAATCTGTGAGGGGAAATCCACTCTCAGTATTTTTAAGTCATGCACATTTTTCAAAATATAACAACAAATAGTTTCAATGGCATTTACCCAGAATGCCAGATTGACCTCTCACCCCCTTGTGCATCCACTGTGACATGAGGCAGCTTACAAAATAAAAGATGCTGGGAGTGAGCAAGAGATGCAGGGTGGAGGGAGGGGATCGTCGCCCTTCGCGCGTAGCTCCTCCCGGCTTACAAAAACTTTGATCTCTAGAGTTTGGATCAGGCACATACACACTCTCACAGACAAAAAAAATCATTACACACACACATGCAGGGAAGAGCTGGGGCTGTGAGGTCAGACTTGTGACACTTGGGCTATCAGCATGATTATCTATGTCAAGAGCAAAAAGGAGCACACTGGTGGGTGGTGTTCTAACCTCTGCAGACATGCATGTATAAGCAGGCAGGAAAACAGACAAATAAGTAACAACTCATCTAATTCTTTAGGGTATTTGGATTTAATAATTCAACTGCTTCTGGATTCTTGGAAAAATGGCAGAAGCAGGCTGTTATGGAAGACGACTGTGATGGAGAGAGAGCAAGAGAGGCAGGAGGGAGGGAGAAAGAGAGAGACAGACAGAGAAGGCGGAAGAGAGAGGAAAAAGGCAGAAAGGAGAGAACAATAAGGGCTCATTGTTTGTTTTGTTCTGCTCTGAAAAAGAGGGAAGAGAAGCGCTTCCCTTCTGAGACTGAATCACAGAGATAGAGGCAGCTGTGTGTGTGTGTGTGTGTTTGTGTGTGTGTGTGTGCGTGTGTGCGCGCATCCAACAGTGAATAGGATTTAACCCGTCACGGCAATGAGTTTCTTTACCCATCCATGGATACAATGAGACCAGCCGGATATCAAGCTACCCACCCACCCACACTCACAGCCTCAATCACATCCATACCAAGGCCCATGCATGCACACCTCAAGACACACACACACACACACACACACACACACACACACACACACACACACACACACACACACACACACACACACACACACACACCTTTACACAACTTCATACAGATGAATGGACAATATTGATTATCATAAGTAAAAGCTTTGTTCTTACTGCTCGATTACAGCAGGTTCTGTCATCTCCCCTGTTCTGTCTTTCTCTGGTTCTTTGTGGGTGCTCCACCATGACAGACACAGGTCAGTCTTTCAGGGTGCATTTGTGTGTGTGTGTGTGTGTGTGTGTGTCTGCGCACATATGAGAGAGTTTGTGTGTGCAACAGAGAGAAAGCAGAAAGCAATAAGCTGGCTGAAATGGTGCCATCAGAGCTACATGATTGATCAATTGAATTCCATCATGGGGACTGGCCGGTGGGATTAAATGGGTTGCCTTGGGTTACCAGGCTAAAGCATCATACTGGCTTTATCTCCCACCCTGATTGGTCTGTCACCGGAGACCTGGACCATACACACACACTACTCCCAGCATCTGTATATGAGTGTGTGTGTGTGTGTGTGTGTGTGTGTGAGAGAGAGAGATTATGATCAAACCTCTGTTTGTGAGAGAGGGTTTTGTGTACTGAAGATGTAGAGGGAGGTTTAGTGTGTGACACAGCACTGTAGCATGAGCTGGATACTGTCTGAAGATTTAAAGGTTTGCTAGAAGTCTTTGAATTGATCCAAAGCCACAGGTTGTGCCAAGACTGATCCTTTTTTATCAACTTTTGAAATTTAGCTAACACACATCAAACTGTAAGCAAACATTTTGCAACCAGCTTTGGTACCGTTATACAACTCTGGGACTGTAATCCATCCATCCATCCATCCATCCATCCATCCATCCATCCATCCATCCATCCATCCATCCATCCATCCATCCAGGAAAGGTTTTCAGTCTATCCTGGTGCATTTGCACTCACACCTATAGCCAGTTTAACCTGAAACTTTTTAGACTATCGGAAAAAATCCATCCAGCCACATTGCGATCACACAAACTTCACACAGAAAGGCCACAGCCCACAAACAACTTCAAACCCAGAACCTCCTGCTTAGAGGAGAAGTGCTAACCTCTATATCGTCACAGTGCCATATGCCAATCTACCAAATGTTTTAACATAGTCTTTGTTCTGCCTGTCACTCTTGGATGTGCACAGAGATCACTTAAATAATGAACCAAAACAATGAAAAAAGTGAAAAAACAAACAAACAAACTGTCAGTTTCCTTATTAGGCTACTGTGGATGTAAAATGTACACTTACATAATCCTCTTATCTTGTACAAAGGATCAATTAATTCTGACTCCTCAGGTATACTCACAAAACACCTTATTTTCCTCAATGTAATCTAGCTAAACTTGCTTACTTAAAACCCATTGCATCTTTGCTTTAAACCTTTTTTAGATTATGTTTTTAGGAATGTGACTAGAACAAATAAAGAATGAATAAGATTAAGTAAAACTATGTTAAAGAGGAAACCTGTCATTCTTATAGATTACTACACTGTCTCAGCTCAGTCCTTAGCTGAAACCTCAGTTACTTCTTTATGACAAAGTGAATTATACTCTGATTTATCATCTATTTTATACAGATGGGTAACAACTATTTAACAAAATGAATACAATTAAAACTTGAAAACTAGTAAATAAGACCACAAAGTCATTAGGAAAAATGTTTCCTGCTCATAAATGAAAGAAGAAGTAACTTAAAATTCTCACTGACTTATACAATCAGATTAGCAAAACTCACTTCTGTAGTTTTGAAGTCATTAAATCTGAAATACTACATTTTAACAAACACTCAAACCTTTATAAAAAGAATATAGTCTCCCCTGCAGTAGCACAGGTCTCAGTAACTACATGTAGTGGTATTAAAAGTTATCCACAACTACAGAATTTCAAAACAGGAAGCATCCCTTGAGGTTAAATATGGTTAGACAGACATTTTTTTCTTTCTTTCTTCATTTTCTTTATTTATTAGAACTAGTCTGGTGCAAATGAATCTGTATTTTCACTCCAAATGGAAAAATATATATATATATATATATATATTTGAAGCCCCCTCCCCCCTCTCCACCTGTCTGTCATATCACTACCCTGGACACACATTCACGCACATACACACACTAAACACACAGTGACCCCCAGGACTAAAATAGGCTCTCAGGAGTGGTTTGGAACGCTGAATTGGCTCTATAGTGGGGATTTTCACCCTCATCCCCTTTTTCTCTTTATCTTTTTCTCTCGTTCTCTCTTCTCTAATCATTTGTGGGCCGCGACTCTTCAGAGTTCTTATAATTGTCTCGTTCAGTCCCTCAGCCTTGCAATAACTGCAGGATACGAGAGCTCACAGTCTAATACTGATACCGTGGCAATATATATTTGTGTGGATGTGTGTGTATGTGTGATACGACGAGAGGGGACGGACAAGTGTGTATATATGAGAGGAGAGAGTGTACTTTTTAGAGATCAAGAAGGAGAGACAGCGTATGCTTGGTAATGGATTGCATTTGTATACCATTTTCTCTGAGCCTCCACAATCTATGAAGTCGCTCAGTCTTAAATCAGTTCACTGGAGTTCATTTGAGTCCACTAACTTCTTTCTCCACATCTGTCTTAGTGATTTATATTGTCAACACACGCTTTCACTACTCCCTTCATTCCTCTATCGCTGTCTGTCTGGGTTTTCCCTCCATAACATAAACCAGACTCACAAAAGCTTCCTTTTATCTTGCTCATTTCCTCTCCCTTTCAGTTATCATTCCTCTCTTAAAAATTCTGCATTTACAGCCTGTCTTACCCCTCTCCTTTCACCTGTCCTCTCTGTGCAGGTTTGCAGGAGTCACCGCTGGCCAATGGACACGGCCACAGTGGGCGGGACTTCCTCAGGAAGCAGATGAGAGGGGAGCTATTCTCGCCACAGCAGATCGAGGTATTGGACCGCCTCTTTGACAGACAGCCATCCTGTCCAATCCAGTCCAGCTCTGACCTCTATGTGAGCCCTGATTCTGGCAAGGTAAGGGCGAGGCATCGTGCAGGCTCTGGGCTGAGGCTGAGGTTGGGAAGAGGTTAGGAGTCAACAAGAATGTAGTTGTGGGCTAATGAAAAACAGGGGCTGTGACAGGAGATAACCGCTCATGAAAAACAAACAGGAGCTGACTAAAGCAGAAGTGGCGTCTCCTGTGTTATCACCTCACGGCCACCAGACACAGCAGTGTACTTCAAGTCACTGTCACAGCACAACAGCCATTCAGCCATCCTATACTGTAAGTCTTTTTTCGCTGAGTTCAGACATTTTTTTTCTTACTGTTTACAAGACCATGAAAAGATCCAAAGCAACAAATATGTTTCCCCCCTAACAAGTGCTTTGTCCTCGTTCAAAGACACATTTTTTTATCCTGCTAACCGTGGCCCTTCACAACCTCTGGTTATAGTCAAGAAAATAATACATGGGCCTACCTGGGATGTAGGTGTAACTGCAGCACAGAGGTTAAAGGGCCTCTCATCCTTTTCAGAACATGTGTTTTTTTTATTTACAATCTCTGACAAAAAATAAGCACAATATAAAAAAGCATACGCTTTTTTTTACACCAGGGTATATGTTTTGATTAGAAGACGGCCTACTTTCACCAACCTGGAATCTCCAAATAAAAACATCCAAGAACTAATGCTCAACGGTTGCGTGCCACACATGCAAACAAAATTAAAGCAAACAGCGCTAGACTAACACATTGTTGTTTTTGGTCTTTCCATCAATAAGAGCAAAACTGTTGAATGGCACAAGTCACATCGTTTAAAGAGACAGTGTGCAGGAGTTTCAAACTGCCACCAATATGACAGTTATTTGGGTTTTCCAGTGGACACAGGTGCAAATTTCTTTTTTTTTTGTTGTTGCTGATAGTGAAAAAATGTAAGGCAGGAAAGCTTAAAATGTAATGGACTATTTTGGGATTTACATAGTACAGAAGCCAGATTAGTTTGTAGTTTATCAGTTAACATTTAAGGTTTATCTGACTGTCGTATAAAATATTTGTCTCTGTTTTTAGAAAAAAAAGCCTGCCTGCTATGCCTTGCCATGCCATGTCAATGTTGCTGACTGCTGTCACATTGCACAACAAATAATCCCATTTTAAAAAGCTCTCTCTCTATCCAAGCGCTTCACTCATCCTGTCTTTTCCCCAATTCTTTCATGTTGCTGTGAGCTCTCAAAGTGTCAGCATCAAGTCGTGTTTTCACTGTTGGCTTGACAAACCGCTGTGAGTTTCTTTGGTCTGATAGACACTGTGATGAGTCAGACCTGCTCTATTGATGTTCCTATAATGTAGACACACTACAGGGGTTAATGAACATATTGACCCGACTCTCATTATGACCTCACTTCCTGCTGCTTGGTGGGACGGCAGTGCCGCTGTCCGCATGCTGATGCGTCTTGGGAATGTGCGTATGCGTGTGATCGTTTGCATGTGAGAGAAAAAGAGAAAAAACGAGACAAGAAAACCGAGAGCGAGAAAGGGTGTGTCTGTGTGTCCTAATGTTGCATCTAAATTGACCTCCCGCCCTTTCTCAGGAGTAAATTAATGTAAATCTGAGTGGAATAGACAGGTGTAAGTGGTATGCTGAATAACAAAATGACAACAAGCTAGCATTTGTATTCTCTCTACCTTTTCTCAGATGCCTTCTAATCAGCAGCCCAACGGTCAATATTAAGGAAATATTTGGCCAATGTTTCAAAATGAAATTTTTGTTTCAGCGAGCTTTCAAGCTGACACTGCTTCTGGTTTATTTATTCAGTCAGTGCCAAGGGCAAGAGTACAAGCAAACTCCCGAGTAGTCGGAGTATATGGAAGCATAAATAGGCTGCAGCCTTAGACCTACAGGGCAGAGTTTGGCTTTTTAGTCCATTCTCTTTCCTCTGACCGACATGGGGACTTGAGTGGCACAGGGCGAGAGGTCGACAGGGATTGGCTGTAGTAGCTCTATAGACTGGGACTCAAGACTATAATACCCATGATTCATAGGTCAGTGTCCTGTCTGAGCCTGGTCAAGCCACTGGGGTCAGCGTCTGGGATAGGGGAATCAAACTGGGGTCAAACTGGCTTCAAGAAGTGCATTACAAAGAGACCCAAGCAATCACAACCACATGCACACAAACACACACACACAAATCTACATGACTATCTAGTCCTCCACCTCTGCTAACCCCCCTTTTTCCCACTGGGAATGATTGACACTCTTAGCCTTAACGCTGACAGCCACAGCTTAGGCTCTTTGGTATGTGGGCTGAGGTGTGTGTACACGTGTGCGTGAGTGTGCACAGTAACCACTATTGGTGGGGTTATGGTCAAGGGGGGTCACCCTGCCTTGCGACTGACATTCCTGACAGATTTGTCCCTGCTGGTGATGTTTTGTATGGGGTCGTCTTTTACGAAACGCGCGTCAGTGTGTGTGCATCGGACAAAGACGTGTCCAAAACTGTGAAAACCAAAGTAAAGACAGAAGAGCAAGAGGCTCAGATTCAGGTGTTATACTAATAAACTGTAATCTCAGTGGTTACGTCAAGCTCCTCATTATTTTTTAGCTTTCTTGCACTAAAACATGAGGCTTACTCATTATTTTGTCTTCCTTCGTCCCACTTGAAGAGACCAAAAGCAATACCTCTCGCAAGCAAATCTTATTTTATCTGTCAGCAGTAGTTACTCGTCTATCCTGTTTATTTCAGACCTTTTTCTTTATCTTTCTTTCCTAACAAGCCCTGCTTTTATCTCATCTGCCTCTCCTGCTCTTGTTCCACTTCACCCTGTAGTCTATTAAGCCCCGCTATTAATTTATGTGTGCGTGCTCGTATGTGTGTCTGCATGTGTGCCTGTCAGAGACAGTTCATTTGAATTTCCCTTCAATCACTTTCTATTACCCAGGTGATAAATCAGCAGGGCTGACAAGCACCCCCGCCCATCCGTGCTGCCCTGGGTCCAAACGCCCACCCCAGTACCAAGCAGTTTACACTGAGATGTGGACGGAGAAAAATGAGACTGATATTATAGATTTTTTTTTCTTTACTTAAAAGGATTTCTATCTTGGGCTCCAGTTTGGCTCAGATGCCCTGTGGCTGAAATGCAGCGGCCCGGGTTTGAATCTGCCCCTTGACCCTTTGTGTCTTCCCCTCTTTCCTGTCTACTCTTTACTGCTGCACTAAACACAAAAATGAAGAATGCATCTCAGGTCATTTCAGCTAGTTCGTCTCATCATTGACCGCAGAATGTTTTCCCCACACAACAAATAATAAATCAAGAGAAAACAACTAGAAATAACGCTAAATTCATCGCTTTATAGCATGAGCTTATTAAAGTATCCTGTAGGAAATTTCACAGTGGAGTTAGAGATTGAATTTGATGGCTCCAGAGTGTAGTGGTTCACACATTTAACTGAAAAGTAAAAGATACACTTTTTGTTTCTAGGAGGAGACACAAATCTCTGTGGGGTTGTAACAGAAAGGGCGTCTGGACGCAGTTAAAAGTAGCTTTCAGGTGAAGATTGGATTTAGATGCACAAAGCCACAACATTTTTTTATTAACACTGAAACTATTTAAGTGTGATCAGACGCATCAACCATGCTGCTCAAATTTGAAAAAAACAACAACAAACCCAGCAGACTTTGCGTCATTGTGTAATCACTACACTAAACGTTTTTTTTAAAAATCATGCATACAAGAAGTATAACAGTAAACAACTGCAAAACTTAGATAAATTAATTAAGTATAAAATATGTAAAAACTTCCTCTCATGTGGCCTACAGCGGCCCCATGACTCATAAGGAGCTGTTTGGAAATGAGTATCCTCCCCTTGCTGCCACGCTCAGTTTGAGCACAGATAAATTCCTTCCCCACAATCCCTGTCTCAGTCTGTGGGCCACTCAGGGAATTGTATTTGTTTATAGTCAAGCAATTTTCCATCAGGAGCACTCAAGCCAATGTGACGAATGGGAGAGAGAGAGTAGGAGATGGAGAAATCACGAGCTATTTTGGAAGTGGTGAAAATAGGAAATACTATTATGCAAATGGTACAGAAGGGCCGGTCTGTGTGTGTATTTGTGTGCTTGTTTGTGTTTATGCGTGTGTCTCTGGCTGGGTTGGGCACATCTGTCCCATTTCTGACTCAGCAGACCAAGCTGCTGCGTGGAAGAGACACAGTGATAGAACGAGTGAGATAAAAACTTAGTGCAGCTGCTTTTAAAGAGTTAAAGTGTTATGATGTTATGATAAAGGACTGCTATCTGCTAACCCTTTAGAGGACAGAGTTAACAAAACAAGAAAGGAGAAAATGCATCGAAGCAGACAGCAATAATCAACCAATGAGAAATTGTGTATGTTATACCCTAAAAAAAATGCTGCATTTATATAAAATGAAAACAAAACGCTGAAAACAGTGAGTGCCGTCCATGATGTGTAACTTTAGTGGAGTAATGAAGTGAAATTTGATCCTGGGAGTCCACTTTTGGTGACAGATCCAAGAATGTGAAGACTTAGGATTCAAAGCAATGTAAAGTTTGTGAGTTAGTTAACTTCAAATGCTTTAACTCATTGGTCACAGAAGAAAAACTAAAAATGACCAAGTTCTCAGTATTACCATATGTTGGTGGGATGCTGCTGCTGCTGAGTGCCCTGCTCTACATTCTTTTCTCTATCCCACTAATTTACCAATCGATTAACATTTCCCTCCATCTCAGCCCCATTTCCTGTCTCCTCCTTATTCCTTATTATTTCTTTATAGCGACCCTTTATATCTGCCAGGTCCCCCCCTGCCACCTTTACTTGCTTCCTCCCATCTTGCCCCGAACAACCCCTCCCCATCAGCATCCCCAAACCCCAACCCCTCCATGGCCCGGCAGCTGCGTCCCTCCTCTTTGATGAGGGCTGATGGCGCTGTATGAGCGGTGGAATTGACAACATTTACGGGGGCGAATGAGAATGATCCATCTTCCTTAGCGGGCCTGTCACCCCACTGGCCAAACTTCATCATGGCCAATTACCACGGCAGACCCCTTCTTCTCTGGTGCTGCTGCTGCCTGGCCCCCATCTACACACGGATACATGGACACATTAGACACCATTATAATAAGACAGAGAGCGGCCAAGAGAAAGGGGGGGAGGGCGGCTGAGCAGTGATAGCTCATATGATTGGATGAAGAAACTACAGGTGTGATGTGTGTGATGTGTTTGATGTGCGAGAGAAAAGAGAGCTTAAAAGTGTGTCTGAAGTCCAAAGAGAGAGAGAGAGAGAGAGAGAGAGAGAGTGAGGGAGGATGTGTGTAGTGTACTGCGTAAGCTCTTATTTGGCAGGTCACAGTCCAGTGGTTGTGTTGTGTGTTGACGAGCACAGGGGTGTTTAAGAGGTCAGTGAGCACAAACACACGCCTACACTTACACCTCCACACACACAGATGCAGACGCATTAAAAGGGTCAGTGCAAAACTCTCACCTCATCACCTAAAGGAAATTCTGATTGGTGTCATTAGTGTACACACACACACACACACACACACACACACACACACACACACACAGGTCAGTAGTAACTGAATGGGAGGAAAAGCTACAGAAGGAATTTCATGCAATAAAGTGCAATATTTCATTTGCTCAGTTTTATTTACTCGTACAGTGGGAACAGTTTGAGGTTCAGTGTGTTGGTCGAGTGTGCTTCAAAATGCAGTCAGGAGGAGAATTTAATGAGCAACTTACTAAGCTTTTTTTAAGCCACCCCTCAATAATCATACACTATATGCTTATATTTAATTGCCGAACTCCGGATGAATATGTGTCTCTTTTCCAATACTGTGAGTAGGGCTGTTTAGTACATACACAAATTAATTGAAGCTGACTGAGAGCAGTTTAGTTAGCTCAGTCATTATGGCTTTCCGGTTAAAAACGCTGCTGCAGAAACATTCATGTGACATGAACTCTTACCTAAAAAAAGAGCTAAAGCTTACCTCGCAGTAGTCAATTAACACAACAGACAGATTTAATGAGCAAACGACTGAATGTACTACTCCACACAGTCTTAATTGTGGCCACAGAGTAATGAATGGTGTTTGCCTGTATGCTTTGCTTGCATTTGCTTGTTGCTGTAATGCAAGGTTTATTTATATGATCACTTGTCTCAAAGTCACCAAGGAATGGACTTAAATATTTTATTGTAAGCCCCACATTTTTATTTCTAGTGCACCTCTTTTCTGCACTGACTTACTTATGATGTTACTTCCTTTTCTGCATTTTAAGGAACAGATGAGCTTAAAATTCCTGATGCTGAGAGCCAACCTTTTTTTTTTAAAGTGTCAATTTCTGCACAGCCTTCGTTATTATTATTATTATTATTATTATTATTATTATTATTATTATTATTATTATTATTATTATTATTATTATTATTATTATTATTATTATTATTGCA